CAGGATTTGGAACACTTCCCGCACATGCCTCAAGTGTGTCTCCCAATCGGGGCTGTAGATGAGGATGTCATCGAAGAATACTAACACTGATTTACGCAGCAATGGTCTAAATATTGAGTTCATAAGTGCCTGAAACGTTGAGGGCGCGTTGCACAGTCCAAAGGGCATTACCAAATACTCGTAATGCCCATTATGTGTTCTAAATGCAGTCTTGGCGATGTCTGGAGAATGCATACGAACCTGATGATATCCTGCCGTAAGATCGAGTTTGGTGAAGTAAGCTGCCCCGTGTAGCTCATCTAACATATCATCTACTATGGGAATTGGGAATCGATCTTTAATTGTTGCCGCATTTAGGGCCCGGTAATCCGTGCAAAACCTCCAAGAACCATCCTTTTTCTTAACTAATAGCACTGGTGATGAAAAGGGGCTGGAACTTGGACGAATGATTCCTGAGTTGAGCATATCCGCCACTTGTTTCTCAATCTCTTCCTTCTGATAGTGTGCGTAGCGGTAGGGACGAACGTTGATAGGATCAGTGCCCTCCTTGAGTGTAATGTGATGCTCAATCTCGCGGCTAGGGGGGAGACCGTCTGGGATCTGAAATAGTGTCTCAAATTCCTGGATCAAGTTTTTCAGTGGCTCGGCTACTGGCATCAATGGTTCTTCTGCTTCAGCGAGACAGATCGCATAAAGAGTGTGTCCTCGACGAGCTTCCCTGCTCATGTCATGTGCATCCGTGGCCTGAATCATGGCAGCTTTGAGTCCCTGGAACACATGAGTCCGGCATCCCCACTTAAATTGCAGCGTCTGAGCTTTCCAATCACAGGTCACCGGCCCTAAACCTTCCAGCCATTTAACTCCCAGAACCAAGTCTAGGGCCACTAACGGAAGTGCGTGTAAGGTCATTGTGAAAGTAACCTCACCAATCCGTACCTTAACATCGTCATACCTGCACTCACACCTCATTGGTTCACCGTTGGCGACTCGTACCAGGAATGGTGTCGTAGGTGTCTGCTTTAACCGGAGTTGCTGCGCTGCCCTTATACTGATGAAATTGTGGGTTGAGCCGCTGTCCACAAGGGCAACCAGTTTGCGATTACTTATGCCTGCGCGAAGACGAAGGGTTGTAGGAGCATCCCAACCTGTCAAGGCATGTAATGTGATCTCTGGTGATTGATCCATTGCCGCTAACAGTTCTTCTTCATGGTTGTCAGAATCTTGTTCGCTCTCCATGACAAACAGCTGTGGCTGCTTGCATTTGTGTCCCGGTGAAAACCGTTCATCGCAACTAAAGCACAGCCCCAAGCTCCGCTTCTTTTTAAGCTCCTCCCAACTCAGCCGCCGTGGACCCGGTGTGTGTTTATCACCCAGTGATGATGATTGAACATGATCTGGTGATGAGTTTCCAATTTGAGGCAAGGGTTTGGAATTGTAGGACCGCTGTCCACCCCATTTTCTTTCTTTCTGTAACTGATCGTCTCTTAATCTGGCCAGGTTGATGATCTCCATCAGTGTCTTCGGTTTGAATATTCTAATCCCACTGGAAATAGATGGGTGAAGTCCTCCCATGAACGCCCCCACCAATGCCTTCTCTGACCATCCTTCAACCTTGTTCTGCAGCCTTTCAAATTCTCTTTGATACTCAATTAGCGTCCCTTTTTGGCAGATGTGGCAGAGCGCTTCATCAAAATCTTCACCGTCAATTGGGCCAAATCGCGTCCACAGCTCAGCCTCAAATGTTTCCCACGAGATCCGATGGGGGTCGAAACCCCGAGCTCTTGACTTCGCTTGCCACCACGCGTTGGCTTCCTCCGTCAAGTGATAAGAAGCAAAGCTAACCCTCTGATCTTGTGGCATCTCATGATAGGCGAAGTACTGCTTTGCCTTGCTCATCCATTCCTCCGGGTCTCCACCGCTGAATTTTGGGAATTCCAGCTTCACCGGACGGGAATGTCCGTGTGGAGGGTTTGTGGTATACACGTGACTTTCCCCGTGCTCTTCCGTCCGACGATGGCCCCGTGCTGCGCTGGACCCACTTTCGCGGTTGGCCGCCATCAATTCCCTCATTCGGTTCACAGCATCTTCTAGATTTCGGTTGAACAGAGTCTCCAAACTCCGGAATTGGTCTCCTATGCCGGTGTTTATCTTCTGAAGCTCATCTTGCACAGTTCCGAGACTCTCCTGCATCAACCCAAGGCCTGCCTCCAAGTCGTCGAGTCTCTCCTTGTTGTTCGGCATGGGCTCGTCTCCCTGGACAACGACCCTTGGCTTGTTTGGTTTCTGTGATTTTCGGGGTGGAATGTTGTGAATTGGGGTGAGTGATACTGAAGAAAATTCTTGATGGGCGTTGATTCGTAGAGAATACCGCCAACAAGAACCAACCTGGCTCTGATACCAAATTGATAAGGTCCCTCTTCAAAGCCAAAGAGATATGCTCGTACTAGCATAAGACAGGTGTTTTTGGTAGTTTAGACTACCTATTTTTGATGTTTTTCATTGATATAAATAGCCAAGTACCTGAACAAAAGAACGGAAAGGTGGAGTCATGGACTCCAAAAATGCAGGGAAAGGGAAAGTGGAGAACGTTCTCCCTGAAAATCAGGAAGACTTGTTCTCTTATTTACAACTGAAACACAAATAATACTGAAACTTATTTAAATAAGGTATTTTTTATTCTGCTTGCGTGGCCTTGTGGACCGTCTTACTGCCACCTCATCACTCTCATACACCGCTGGCTGTTGCTCCGCATCACCCGCACACTTCAGCAAAACCTTTGCGGCTTTGCCGAATCACGCACGTAGCACAAAAAGATTAATGAGATAAGGTGAGACAGACACGTAGTCATGCGGAGGCAGTCCTGTTTTTCTTCTTCTCCTCGACCTGCTATGCTCCTCTTTATTCTACTCCTTTCTTTTCCTTGCTCGGCAGATGCTTGTTTTGTTGCTCCGTCTGCGGCGTGAAGCTTGTGCTTATTCCAATCATTTTTTTTTATTTGCCTTTTGCTTTATTTCATTCCATGTCTATGTTTGTTTGCCGTAGATGTACCTCATGTACGCACTAGTTTTTGGAGCTAGTTTGTTGTATCTTTGGTTTACTGTGCTGCTTTCATTTTCCCAGTCAAATTTTTTGGCCGACTTTTAGTTCAATCTTCTTCTCTGTTTTCAACAACAAAAAAAAAAAAACGATATGATAGTGCCTCATTATATAGTTTGTTTCCAGTTTGATTGTGAATAGATCAATACAATTGATGAAGTATTTTTTTTAAATAATGTCATTTTTATAATATTACATTGTCACGACCGTCATTGATATAGACATTGACATTGTCATTATTACAATGTCATTGTTATAACATTGATAGTAATGACATTGCAATTTCTGTTATTTGACAATGTGAAATTTTTCTGACATTGTGATAGTTTTCCACTTTGTCATTTTTTGTTTCAATGGCATGCTAATGTCACAATATTTCAATGTCATCAAGGAACACAATATAATTTCTTGAAAATATCACATTCTCATTGACATTTTGACATTTGTCATCGTTACAATGTCATTTTGTAGCATTGATGTTGACATTGTTATTGTCATTACTTGACATTGTGACACTTTTTGGACACTGTGATAGTTTTTCCGACATTGAAATTTTTTTGTACAATGGCATCACAATGTTACAATATATCAATGTCATCAATGAATATAATGTCATAACGTTAATATCATAATGTCACGTGCCAATGTCACATTTTAAGTATAACAATCACGATGTTAATATTTTGTGTTAATATTTTTACATTTTTATGACTTGCTTTTTTGTTTTTGTTTAACTCTATTATACTTAATTACTTATATTAATTTTCAAACAATAATGACATCATTACATGCATTGTCTTATCATAACATTGTATATTATATTCTCTTATAAGATATTCTTATACATTGGTTAACAATTTTTTTAATAGAGATAATGTCACTTTGTATAGATTGTACTCTGTAGTTGTTATTAACAATGTCAATTTATAAAATTGGCAATATCACAACAATCATTGACATTAACATTGTGATTGACATTGTTATTGTCAAATGTGACATTGTTTTAACATTACAATGATTTTCACTATATTTTGATAATGCTTAAAATATTGTGACATATTTCACCATTTTAACATGTTTTTGAAGCCTCAAATGTTTAAAAGCTAGATAAAGTTGCAACAGCTAACAATATAGACGTAGGTTTCATGATTTTCCATACTATCAGCTGTCCATCATTAATTAGTAACAGTGCAACTTTAATTTTCAGCAGCAGCCCGACAAACAATTCCCAAGAGACCTAAATTGCAGCAATCCGATAAAACTATTCTCAAAAGACCCAAATTGAACATGGCCCTCTGCAATTCCAGAGAATAATGGGATGAGGATGAAGCTTATTCAAGCATCAATGCTTTAGTCAAGAACACCGCCCACCCAACATGCTAGCAAATCTACCTTAAGCGTTGCGGTTCCTCCGTAAAACTGCTGGCAGAATCGTACTTGCTCCATCTCCCACCTCTCCCTTCTGCACGACGGAAGCATCGCCCCCATTTAATGATTGAGCGAATTTTGCAAGGTGGTGGCCGATTGTCCGGAGAGTCGGCGATGAGTGCCGATCTGTTAGGGCAGGTCGCTGAATGCCGCACTCACGACTTCAAGGATGGACTGGTCTAATTGGAGCGGGGATATTTTTGTCCCTTAAATTGCAAATTAGTCGAGTTTAAAAGTTCTAGGTCCTATTTACCTTCCCGTCTTTTTCTTTAGTCCTATTTAGGTCTAATTCCCAACATTTAATAACTATTTGCCAAACAAAACCTTAATGTCACATGTGCACATAAAAAGGAACGCGGACAAAGCTCACTACACCTTCAATGCTTGAGGTGCACAGCTTATTGGGTGAGACATATTGGGTTTGCACATTTTATTTTCTGGCAGTCCATACAAGTATACAACACTAGTTGCATCGCCTTTCACGAAGAGTGTAAGTCGTTATGGAGCTTAGGAAAAAGTGAAGTAGCCCTGGTAAACTTTTGGATGAAATCATGAAGATACTCCTCATTAAAACATTGTCAAGTTTGACTAATATGAGAAACAACAAAAAGGGAAAGGGGGAAAACATCAATATCACAGGTCCAATTTTTTCAAAGCACACACAGAGGCCAACAACATGTTGGTCAGATTACTGTGTTTCTTCACTTGACTTTCACCATCAATTAAAGTGTATGATTAACATATATGTCACTCAACAGACAACCCCCAAGTACACAAGAGAGTTAACCCAATGATACAACAACATGTTGGGTCAGGTTTATTTGAATAAGACCTTTGCAGCCTTACTAAACAGGTTTTGCACCTGCAGAGAGTCGAACACAAGCTGTGTAAGATCAAGAATCATTTTATACAGAACTGCAGATCGATAGGAAACTAACATTTACCTGTTTTGATGAAAGTCCCAACTTCTCCAAATCATTAAGCTGCAAGAAAACAGATCAGAAGGCAAAAATTCAACAAGCATGATACTTTCAAGTCTTCTGTTAAGGGTATTTGTTGTGAAAGAGGAGGTTCTTACAGATTTCAAAGGACTGTCTTGCCTTAGCTGAATTATATAGTCAGCGAACTTCTCTCCTATACCCTAATGATTTTTTAAAGTGAAGACCCTCAAGTTATTTACAAGAAAACTAAACAATTATCCATTACTTGTGTAATTTAGATAATTTTGCTTACCCTTATCTCCATCAATTCTTCCCTGCGAAAAAGGATGGAGTTTTTTTATGTCTCTGAGCACAAATAAGGCATAAAAAACCACATACAAAACGATAATTACCTGTTAGCTTTGTTCAAAAACTCAATATATTCCTCAGCAAGAGAGCTCTGCATAATGATACAGCGGGCATAAAAAAAATTATTATGGAAAAACATATGTTCATGACAATAGGGTTTGCTACATACCTTAAGGTTTAAACTCTGCGCATTAAATTTCTCGAGCGGTGTTCCAAGCACTTCTTGACATGTATTATCAACATTTTTCTCAGAATCTGAGAGGAACACACATCTCTTATTGGCTGAAGCACTCTCAGTGTTAATGTTGGTGTTAGTCGGAAAAAGGGGTTTCCTGGGTGGACTTTGTAATGCAATGATTTTCTTAAAAGAGGGTGATGATCCTAAAGGGTTCACTGTTTCAGCACGTGCATTATCCATACCCCTCACCACCTGATCATCTACACAAAACTCTGAGTTAATAGGGTAAAAGAGGAGGAAAAAGTAGTTAAACATGAAGCAGAAAACTACAAGAACAAGATTTACAATCATTACACTCTTGGTCTCTTTCTTCTGAATCTTCAAGCTTCTTTTCTGTATTCCCTCTGCCGTCAACAAGGTTTGATGCCTGCTTTCAGAGGTTCATCAGTTTTGTCTCTCAGGGTGGAACCAGCTTTAATAGGAGAAAGTCTAGCAATTTGGAAAGATAATGGATCCCTTATATACACCTAAAAGTCAATGCCCTTGAAGATAGCCCCACATACTACTATGATTCATCAGAATTTGACAAACCTCTGCTTACTACCACGTGTTAGAAGGATTTTGTCAAATCAACATCAAATACAGTATAAACTTGGATGAAATAACCTTGAAGGCTAATACACTTTTCAACTTGTCCAGCTATAAATTGCTCACCTCAATAGCTGAGATAAAACGATTTCCATTACAAAATAAGCTTCTACAAGCAAATTCATGAGCCCTGCAAAAGGAAATAAAGTAAATAGTGATTGATTACTGATAGTAAAAAGATGAAGTCGCATAATCAGCTAATACATGCATACCCTTACCCCTGCTTTAAACGTGAAGCACCATGGTTGCTAAACAGCTGTGGTTTAGATGAACTTGGATATGCATCAGCCCATTTTAGTGAGCTTAGTGAATTTGGAGTTTTACTAGTCAACGGAGATTCAAACACCTTTGACTTGTGTGCACTTTTTGTCTTGCCTTTGGATTCAAGCCAAGCATGGAGCTTAGCTTCCATATCAACTTTAACTTTTGGAGTTATGTTTCTAGATGAAGTTAGAGAATTAGAGATGTGCCTCGACCTTGCTGCTAAATTGACTGTATGAATAGACTCCTCATACTCTCCTGGGTTCTAGTGGGTGATTAAAAGAAAGCAAATTTGAAAATTTTAGTAAAATTCTTAAGTTCATACTGAATATTCAGAACATTTAAACAGATATGTGGAGTATATAGAATTAAAAGAGAACTCCTTACCAAACAAGTAACAACCAAAACAGGACTTGTTCCTCCAAGAGAATCCTGCAGTACACGTGTCAATTTGCTATCTCTAAAAGGTACTCGCATTTGGTTGTTATTCAATGCATAAATGACATTAAACAATGCAAAAAGAGACTTGTTTATCTTGGCGCTTTCGTGGAGGCGAAATCCCTCATTGCAACTTCTCCTGTTGTCTTCGTTTCCTAGTTAGATCATATAACAGTAGATATCATGTCAATTACCTAGTGCATAAAAATGGATGCAACCAGTCAGATTTATAGTGCTGCTAATCATCTGAAACACCTGCTAAATCAATGAGATTAATCTTCCCGGCGATAACATTTCCTGATTTTTCATGACAAGGTGTGTGCACATAAATGACAAGCACGGCGTGGCTTCGGCTAGAGAGATCATTAACACTAGTATGGGCACCTTTTCTTCTCTGGATTGCAGCAAGGAAAATATCATTAAAACCCGCCATTGAGTTAACTTCAACTTCTGCAAGTCCCTTAAGATGAACATTCCCATCTTTATCATCCAACACAGCAATTTCCTTATTTTTCATCTCTAGCAAATCATAGCATTTGTCCATGTAAATCTCATAGTAAGAGATGTACACAGTAGTACCAGTGCTTTGACAAATGGAAAGAATTGATGACATCGAAAGTGGGATTAGACCAGGTGTCTCAGCACTTCCCTGTACAAAAAAGAGAACGGAAGTCGTGCATTTTGCTATGAGCTATGTATATATACGTGAGTTGTATCATAGAAGGTTGACAGAATGAAGTGGACGTTAGTCGGTTTTTAGTAAGTTTATATATATATATATATATATATATATATATATATATATATATTGGTTTGTTATATCATATTTACCGCTTTGAGGCAATATCTTGAACAATCTTCTCATGACCAAACATATAGTCTGAATCATGTATATATTGATTAGTGCTTTTAATAGGTTCATGACTAGTCATAGTCTTCAATTGTTCGGTAGTTAGTTAGTAATAATTGTCACCAATTTTTCTTTTTTCAGAGTAGCCCATATCATAAAAGGAGGTTAGCTCGATAGTAAGTTAAGTAGCTCAAATTCTTCTATGGTAGTTTACTAGTTTGTTATTTAATATTTAGCAGATATGGGGTAATATATTCAACAAATGCCCATCTTTCAAGGTTGATGCTTGTGGCACTATGGAGTGACAAACAGACACCAAATGCAATTTGAATTTTTGGAAAAACATTAAAGGATACTTACATTTTAACAACTTCAAGAGGAACCTTTTGTGCTACACAATGGTAACTCACTCACTAAACATAATTTCACTCATGGAACTAGACTAAATTTGAGCTTAAAGAAATGAAAGAAAGAAAGAATAATGATACCTGCATAGTGTAGGTTTTCCCACTCCCAGATGCCCCATATGCAAATACGGTTGCATTGTAGCCACGAAAAATCCCGGGGATCAAAGGGCTAACCTCTTTGTGAAAAATTTGACTGACATTGTCGACTTCCTGTCCAAAAAAACCATCCAGCTTGTAGTATTCGTTTCGGCTGGTCACAAGCAGCATCATGTCATGTATTTCAGAATTTTACAAGTTCGAATAAAATAAAAACAAGTGCTCTCTCAAAATTTTAATACACTTGAATCCAAAGATCAGAAGAAGTACCTAGTTTCATTGTCTTTGAGATAAACAGTGACTTCATCTGATGTTTCAAAACCAGAGTGAAGGATGGACACACAAGAGACTGGGGGACTCCCGTTTCTGGCCGAGATTTCTTCAAAAAGGAAGGGGCGAACTCTTACTATAACTTTCACCTTAGAGGTTAAGTTAGAGTGTGACTCTGTACGTCTTTCCGGAGTGGAAATACTTTCCAATTGGGAGGCCTCAATTATACCTGAATCTTTGGCCATTATACAACCAGTTTTAACTTCCTGAAATCCAGAGTCACAACTTTAAGCGCACAACTCACATTCTTAAATGATACCAAACATAAATAAAAAAAATGAAGACCTAAGAGTCAAATTAATGATGCAAAAGTTGAAGTTAACTTCTAAATATGTGCTAACATATAAAACTAAATGGCGGGTTTTAAAACTTCTTCCATATAAACCATTCAATCTAAATATACGTAGTAGTTTTTTTTTTTTTACTATTGTGTGCGAAATCTCAGCCAACCGTAATTAGGATGTTTTTATTTGGACTTGTTTCAATTACAGATTCAACTAAAACCGACTAGATCATACTTAAACCGATCAGATTAGACCAAACTTAAATAAATTAAACCAGACCAGGCTCAACAGTTGTAAAATACACTTAAAACAGACATCTAACAGACTATACCGGACTATATCAGACTTGACTTAAACCGTTTAGACCAAATTAATACACAAAAGTCCAAACCAAATTTCAGCCGGCACTCCTCTTCTTGTAAGAAAAAATATATGTATACTTCTAATCAATTAGCAAAAAAGTGAGAATCACGACTGTAATAATGGAATGAAAAGAATTGCACAAAAATTAATAAGAAAGAGAATCACACATACTCCAACGAACAAGCTAATGCAAAGCAAGCGTCTACCTTTTGAGCGAAGCAGAGGATTCCGTGAATGGGTGTGTTACTCAAGATGCGGCGATCGATTTAGCTCCGGACCAGTAGAACTCGCACACACACTGATTGGCAGAAGGTTCGGGATGAGTGATATCCCTGATAAAGTTGGGACACTTCCAATTCAAATTCTCCAGATGCCGTTTAATTCGAATGGAGAATTCCCGCTATTAGGCTTTTATTTACCCCGGGTATAAAATAATTACATACTCCGCATTAAGGAGTATTATTTAAAATCAAAATTATTTATAAAATGTGACATTTTAAATGATGATATTAGTAATTTTATACTCCGTATTTAATTATGGAAGTTTATATATAATTTTTCCATTAATTTTTTATACATTGAAAGGATTACAATCACTTAAATGTTATGATATTATACTTTAGTAACTTTAATCATATTTTTCAAAAAGTGAAGTTTATTTTACTAACGTTTTTTTTTTAAATTTCTTTATTTATATTCAAAAAATCTCTTTATTTATTGCATTTATTTATCCCCACCCCACACCTACCCACCCCCACCTCAAGAGGGCCAAACTGGGCCCGGTCCACCACTACCGCTGTCCGGCCAAGGGCATTTAGGGCCTTCCCAGTGATTTTTTTAGATGAATTTTTTTTAGCATGTTCTTCATCAAGGCAGTGAAATGATTTTTTGAAAAAGACGGCGCAACTTATATATATATATTAACTGCTCAGTATTCTTAAATAATTTATTTGACTGCGTTTCAGATTGAATTTTTAACTGAAATTTGGTATGTGTGAACTATACTTGATCAAGAACATGTTAAAAAATTTACTAAAAAAATCGACCGAGAAGGGCCCGAAATGCCTCTGGCCAAACAGCACACCCACGCACGCACACAGATGATGTTTTTGCTTGGGCTGAAATTTGCTCGTCTGGTCTGATTTGTTTAAGTCTGATCTGAACTGGTCTGACTTAGGACTGAAAACAGTTCAACTAAAAACATGCTTGCAATCTACACCACAATTAAAGACTAAGAATTATATACTTATATATATATATATATATATATATATATATATATATTACTTTTTTAATGTCAATATTACTTAAAAAGTTAAATAAAAGTGGTAGACAAAAATATAACATAAGTTACTACTCCGTACAAGTTATCTTAGCCAACACAAAGTAAACTTCAAAATCACCTTGGCCACTAAATTACTATTCCGTATTTCCGTACTATAGTAACTAATGTATAAAAAGTAACATATTTATTCATCAAATCAACTTTAATCATATTTTTGTCATTTTTCTATTTTCTAAACAGAGGCAAAGCCACATAATATGAACAGTTTTATGTGCGTGTTCATAACTCATTAGCATGACGTATAATTTTAGAATGTTGGGTTCATAAAAATGATTAGGGTATTGTTCAGTTTCCAGTTCATTCAAATTCAAATACATTCCTAAAAGTAGTCTCACTTTCGTAGATCCTTAATGTTTTTGGAGACTCAGAAGGTGAGTTTTCCAAAAAAACGACTACCTTTAAACAATTGGAAGGAAGTCTGGCCTGAAATCAGTTCCAAAGTGGTGATCATGGAAACTAATTTTAAGGCTAAGGAAGCTTCTCAGCTTCAAAACTGCCAAGCGGGAAGTGCTGATACCTCGGGACAAGACTTAGTGATTCATAAAGATTCTACTGAAGCTCCCTACTCTACAACTGCACCGGGTACCATGGGAGATAACACTGAAACTTCAGATGGATTCACCCAAGTTAGTTATAAAAAAACCAAAAAGAAGAATGATTCAGAAATACCTGCCAGATTGACTAGAAATGCCTCTAAGAAGAAAGAATTAACATAACCAGCTTCTGGCTCTGTGTCACATGCTTACACCCACCTGTTTAAATGAATGTTTTATTTTGGAATGCAAGGGGTCTTGGTACAGCCTGTGCCAGACTTCACTCCCTTATTAATAAGTGGAATCTTAATGTTCTTTTTATCATGGAGCCTATTATTGACAACTCCAAAGCTGAACAGTTTAGATTTGAGTTAGGCTTTCAAAGGGTGGAATTCTCTCTTTTAAACAAAATATGGATATTCTGGAATCCCAGTGATGTTTGTATTTCTGATTTGATTTGGCATCAACAGTATGTTCATATGAGAATTACATTTGGAAGTTTTGCTGGCTGGGCTACTGCAGTATATGGTGGACACACAATCATATCTAGAAGAATTTTATGGAGTGCTATTGAGTCTTTTTCGGCCTCTATGTCGGAACCTTGGATTATTGGGGGTGACTTTAATGCCATTGCTAATCATGATGAACATAGAGGTAATGCTATCCCTAATCTTACTAGTATGATTGAATTTTCGGACTGTATTGGTAACTGTGATCTCATTGATCTACCTCATACGGGTCCTAAATTTACTTGGTCTGGTCAAAGATCTAATGGCAGGGTTCTTAGACGCTTAGATAGATGTCTAGTTAACTCTAAGTTTGTGGACTATTTTGGTCTAATACAAATTTCTATTCTAGAGAAAACCCCCTCTGATCATTCTCCCATCCTCCTGAGTTGTAGCCAGTTCACTCATAATGGACCCAAATCTTTCAAGTTTCAAAATATGTGGCTTTCTCATCCAGGTTTCTTAGATGTTGTAAAAAAAAGCTGGCAATCCAGCTCCTCTGGTGGAGGTATGAGAGGTTTGGTATCTAAGTTGAAGTGTCTTAAAAATGAGCTCAGAATCTGGAATAAGGAAGTCTTTGGCAATTTATTTGATGAAATTAAGTTCTGTGAAACTTTGGTGCAGCAAGCAGAAGAAAAATTTGATAATGATCCTACTGATATTAACAGAGAAAACTGGTCTCGCTTGAGAGCTCTTCTACTGAGAAAATACAAGATGGAAAGAAAGTTTTGGAAACAGAAAGCTCACATTCATTGGCTTAAAGAGGGAGATTCCAATTCCAAGTTCTATCATTCATATGTGAAAGTTAGAAACAGAAAACAGAATATTGCCTCTATTTTAAATGAGGGGGGTCAGGTGGTCAATACCTTGCCTGAAATAGGAGATGCTGCAGTTTCCTTCTTCTCCAAGCTCTACTCTGAGAACAGTCAAATTGAGGATACCAGTATTCTGCAACACATTCCAAATATAGTCAGTGAGGCTGACAATATTATGTTAATGCAACTTCCTGCAGAAGAAGAAATTAAAGGTGCTCTCTGGGAATTAAATCAAAATGGTGCTCCGGGTCCTGATGGATTTAATGGAAAGTTTTTCAAAAAATGCTGGGGCATTGTAGGTGTTGATGTGGTGAGAGCTGTGCAGGAATTCTTTATGGGGATGCCCATTCCTAAAGGTATGGCAAGCAGCTTGGTGGTTCTGATACCTAAAACTGATAACCCTGAAACTTTTGCAGACTTCAGGCCTATTTGTTTATCCAACTTTGTGAGTAAAGTTTGTACAAAAGTTTTAGCTTCTAGATTGAAATCTATTCTGCCAAAAATTATTTCCGTTGAGCAGGCAGGCTTTATGCAGCACAGGGACGCTTCTGAACAGGTTTTAATTGCCCAGGAGATGGTGCACTCCATTGACAAAAAAATAAGGGGCTCTAATGTGATGATTAAGCTTGATATGGCTAAAGCTTTTGATAAGCTTTCGTGGGATTTTTTACGCCTTATCCTGGCCAGGTTTGGCTTCTCTGACAGTTTTGTGCAACTCATTACTAATAATCTGAGAGCTACCTATCTTTCTATTTTGATCAATGGAGTTCCTCGGGGTTTCTTTCAGCCTAAACGTGGTGTTAAACAAGGTGATCCTCTCTCTCCCTTTCTGTTTATTATTGCTTCAGAGGCTTTCTCGAGAGGTCTAAAATGGAACATTGACCAAGGCTCCATTAAACCCTATTGGATGGGAAATCTGGGATTTCCGGTGTCACATCTGGGTTTTGCTGATGACCTCCTTATCTTCTTAAATGGAGATTCTAGATCAATTTTGAATTTTAAAAAATTCCTTAATTCTTATCAAGCTGCTTCTGGACAATCTGTTAATCTTCATAAAAGCTCTTTTATATGTGGCAAGTTTGCCAGAGCTAGATTACGAAACATACAAAAGATTCTTGGTATGCAGAAAACCAACCTGCCTATTAAGTACCTGGGGGTGAATTTACACAAAGGTTGTTGAGGTTTATTCCTTCAACCTTCAGGCCCAACACGTAAGCCCAAAGATTTCGAGTGGAGTGCGTGTGAGTAACTAGCCCAACAAACAGATGATAAGGGTCAAGAAACAACAAAGTAGCAAGTAAGTGATTAGGTATTATTATCTCTTAACAACTCCCTAATACAATACTCTTTGCTAAGGCTCCGTCGGCCGTTCGTCTTACAAGGCAGTAGAAGTGCTGCGAATAAGAATGCTATAGCTAGGGTGCTAAGAATAGAAAGTTGCCAACCCTTTACAATGAAATAAATGCTTCTATTTATACCCGCCAATGGGCAGGTGGCTATGCTGACGTGGAGGCCTGTGGACCGCTTGTGTTCCAACCACCAAATCTTCTGCATTAAATGCACTTCCCGCCAGAATCTAGGTTTCCCGCCTAAATAATGGGGACGTCCGTCCGCCCGGGAGTGAGCGGGGTCACTCCAAGTGACCTCCAAGAAACTTCAGCTGTTCGTCCCCCGACCTTGTGGATTCTCTCCATGTGGACTGGATCTCCTCCGACGATCATGGGCCTGCCCAGGAGACGTCCGTCGTTATCCTTGATGGCCAGTGGTCCTGCCCCTTACCTCTGCACAGACGTTCGTCGCGATGGGCCGTTTGAATCTGGACCCCCCAATTCCAGACGTTCGTCTCTTCCCAAGGGTCATGGGCCTGCGCCCAGCCTGGTCCTAGCATGACGTGCGTCTGATAGAAAGAAGGGGTTAATGGGCCGGACCTCGGCCTGGGCCATTATCCCAACACAAGTCCCCCACTTCTGATGTTCTGAGCATGCGCAGGACATAAGGAAGTATAGGTGCCCCGAAATGGACGTTCGTGGTCAAGGTGCTTAACAGCTGTCGACGGTTCAGGAAACGAGGTGACGGCTGCTGTAGCGGCGGTGCACTTTCCGAGGAAGTGCCATCATTACGCTTTCGTCTCACGCATAGCGCGTGAGCCGGAATACGCTCCTTGCCACGTGTCCGTCCCTCGT